CTGGGTGGTCCAATTAGCGTCTTGGCGCAGAATAAGGTTTTTTAGCCGCATATGAGCGTCACAGCTTTCCACTGCGCTTTTTATAAATAAATTTTCAGCCACTTACTATGCTACGACCACAGCGAAATACGCAAATTCCTCTGAGATACAGAGATAACTCACCTCCGTCAATACACAGAAACAACAACCAGTCAAAACGGTCAAAAATTGGCTCCAAAAGCGTTGATCGAAATAAAATCGATCAAGCCTTGGCAGTGATTGCCCCGATGCCAGAATGCGCAGATGAACCCTCGACATTCATTTCAACAGAACTCCCTCATTTTGAGGCCAATTACGTTCGAAATCGAGCAGGAGCTTCTTGATACACTAATCTATCTGAATTGGGCTTTTTTCAGCTCTTTTTTAGTGATTTCGTAGTGGAAATCCTCTCTGAAGAAACCAACAAATACGCTACGTTCAAATTACAAAATCCTTCTTTCCTCAAGAAATGTTACTAGGTATCTACTACGCCGGCAGAAATATGTATATTTATAAGGATAAATCTCTATTTTGGCTTATACTATTTGACAGTATAAACAGATATTAGAAACTATATAATCTAGATCAATTTATAAGTCAAGATTAATTCAAACTTATATTTATTACTTTTTTAGTACAAATAATATTCCTACGCCTCTAAATATACTCTGGTTTTATCAAATTTAATATATAGCTAACCTTATTTGAACTACTTATCAAAATTCCTTTTATCCCTTCTCTTATATCACTATTAATAAGGCTATAGTTACCTTTACAAGCTATTTAAAGCATATAATTAGCAAAGAATAAGCCTATTAAAATACAGACTATAAGCTATAGTATATTAGTAATTATAGATATATTTAGAGCTAGTTATTTTACTCTAGAATAAATAAAGTTGAAACGCTTAAGAAGAGGATAAAAATGAGCTGGCTATGCCTGTACTCTATAGGCGCTAAGCGCACTCTATTAGCACTTATATTTGCGTTTATTTTACGTGGCTAAACAGCTTTTAAAATAGCTTAAATTCTGTGTTTATTTAGATAATCTGTTTCTGAATATGTCTGTTATACAGTACCTATTAATTATAAGGGTCTATTACATAAATATAATATACAAAAAGGCTAATAGATTTCCTTTATATCTTTAGAGTTATTTCAAGCAAAATAAACTACTATAAGACTTTATAATAATAGAGATTATTAATAATAATACTCTCTGCTTTATTTAGCAAGATAATAAGGCTATTAGCGCTATTTTGACTACTTATAGCCTTTATAAAATTAAGAATAAAGTTTAGTATACGTAAAAATGCCTAAAAATAATGTCTAAAAATTAATAAATTCTATTACCTGTTTTTAATAGTTAATTATTTAAAAAGCTCTTTATTCTAATAGTTATTAATAAATATAATTATTATATAAAAAGTGTGGACTAAGCTAATTAATTATGTATAAGTTTTACGTATTATTATAAGCAGAATTATTGAACGTGATAGCCTTTATTTTTCTTTCTTCTTAATGTTACTTATATTAATGTGTATCTACTATAGAAATAAAGTAATAACGCGCAGAATCACAATACTTATAGGATCTTTATAAGCGCTTTGTGCAACTAATTACTACATTCGAATAATCCGAAAGAGGAGGAACAATCTCAGCCTTTACTCACAGTAGTCTCTCAACGCCACTATAAACACGTGCGAGAGAAAACTCACAGTCAGTGCGAATAAGGAAAGCTTCACAAGCCTAGCTGTGTACGCAAAAGGGCTCCCAAGCGCAAATTCGGAACAAATATCACAGAAACAGCTGTAAATGGCGCAAATGAGGCTATTTCTGGTGGGTCAAGGACCTATTTCAAATGCAGCAAGTACCAAATTTGGCTCTGTATCAAAGGAAGCTGTTGGCAACAATATCACCACTCAATTGGAGTCAATTGCTAGATAGAATGGCCACAATTCGCCCAAAAGAGACGTTTGTTGATATTTTGTGCCCTTCGTAGTGATCGACAGCGCTAATTGGACCATTCTACACCCCTGTTCAGGGACGGAGGGGATAAGGCTGAGCAATGTTTACCTTTCGCTGGCGAGGCATTTTACTGCTTTTCCATTGCATACTAACAACCCAGTATCTCTCGCTTAACAACGCGCTCAGCCGTCTACAGCCTCCCAGAATGTCTCTGATCTTTGTATAGCCCTTCTACGGAAATCTCACAGGACAGCCCTCCAATCCTTTCCAGTAGAATTCCGACACAATGTCCTCCCCCAAAAGAAACCCTGACCAGCTGGACCGCCAAACCACAACACCCTTCCACCTGAAGCTCTTCTACCGGCTGTCTTCCTTCCACCACCTAACCGACTTTCCCATTCCCACCCCATCAACTCCTTCTCCCGTCCTTCCACAACACCTGCAAATCTACACCTGGCCCACCTGCACCTTGCTCGAGCTCTCCCACCTCCTCACCACCGCCCTCCCCAACCTACTTCCCTCACCCGCAATCGGAACGCGCTTAAGCTTCCGCCTAGTATACCCTGACACGCGACCCCTACCACCGGGCCGCATGCGCGAGGATGACGGGATGCGAGGCCGCTGGACGAGCAAGGAGATGGGCAGCGTGGTCATATCCGCCGGTGCTGCTGCTGCGGATGACGGATCAGAGGAAGCAGACGCGGTGAATGGGACCAGTGGTGGCGCAGGTATCAAGTTCCGAAATACAGAGGAAGCGGAACGAACGCTTGCGGATTCGAGGTTCGTGATTGGTGATTTCGTGGACTGCGCTATCTTTCCACCGCTGCCGGATGGATCGGTCGCGCCTGGCGCGCAGAGGGGAGGGTATTCTGGTGGCGTCGGGCCAAGGGGGATGGGAATGGGGATGGGCGGGCCGCCGCCTCCGAGGGAGAACGGATATGGGAGATCGAGGGGAGGCGGGTATGGATTGGGCAGGGGGGATGGCTTTGGAGGCGGGAGTAGGGGTGGAGATTTCAGTGGAGGAAGAGTGCCGCCGGGGGAATGGAGGAGAGGCGAGAGGCTACCTGATAGTGGGTACGGGAGGGGCGGCTATGGAGGCGGAAGAGGGAGGGGAAGAGGAGGCTACTGAATCTGCCCGTCTTCACCATCATGACATACAATCGAGCATGGAGTCGTGCATCTACATGACGGCAATTTTTTCGAGACAACCATCGCTTCCGAATGATCCTAGGAAAAACAAGGCGGGAAGCATGATGCTACCCATTGCCATGACAAGACGGGCAGGCCCAAACGTCACCTCTCTCTCGCGCTCCTTAGAAGCCAAAGGATGAAGCTAGCTACCAATCCGTCTAACCTCACATGATCTATAGCCCATCGGCAGGAAATGGGTGTCGACCCACCCAGTCCGGGCTGCCGAATATTACACCCAGCGCCATCAACCTTCCAAGCATGCATCTCTTCCTTTTACTAGGGTTGACAGCCGCATCAGGGGGATGTTGAGAGCGTATAGCTTTGCCGCCAAAGCCGGGATTGCGTTAATCGAATGGAGCAGACAAAGGGCCGACTTTGCGACTGATTGCTCGGAGGGGTGCTCAAGATGACATAGGTAGCATCACTACAAGTGCCGCTCTACTGTCTGGCAGGAATGATGACTTAAAGTCGTTTCAGTTACGCGAACAATTAATACAACAGAAAGCAAGGTCTGTCAGGGGATTCCTCTGAGTTGTAGTCGTGTGATTTAATCATGCCAATATGGAAGATCGCCGCGTCAAATCTACGATTGTACTCCGCAAAATGCCACAACTCTCTAGGAAGCTGAAAAACAACCAAGCTCCCCTCCTTCTATGAACAACTAAGGCTGTCCAAGTCTGAAGTGGTAATCGGGTTGGTTCAGTTGAGTCTTTGGTGGCAGGAGATGGAGGGTCTGCCATTAACCGCTTGATCTTACCCACCGAGATGGTATTTTGCGAATATTGACGCATCCTCAACGCCTACCGTATCGTCTTCTGCTTCAAGCATCAAACCCTATTCCGCGGTCCAAGTCACAATTCTCCGGATTGCGATGTTTCGTCCTGAGCTGGATGTGCTCACTGGCGCTGCAGCCCACTCTGAGTCTAAGGTCCCTTCCAGCATATCCAATCCCTCCCAAATGGTTGAATGCATACCCCAAACAGCACTGTACAACCAATCAACATCCCACTCCATACACCCACGAGTGTGTAGCCACGCTCACGCTCTTGCAAACGGCTTGCCCAGTCCTACCGAGACTGGCAAGGCATCTGCTTGCCTCTCCATGTGACGGAAGAATGTCGACATGATTAGCGTGAGAGGAAGCGAGAGGGACTTGAGAGGGTGCTCCAGGATTAGGAGGGGAGGGGGAGAGTGTGGTGCCAATATCTCGGGGTGTCGTGGACAGTAGCTCAACGCAAAAATGGACGTGACGAAGGCCATATTTGAAGCAGCAATGATGCGGATGCTGTGGCTATGGTGCTAATGACCGAGCTCATGTGCGATAATTGCTTTGATATGATCTACTTTATTGGTCTTCTCTGCGTTGAAGGTGTTCTTGTCTTCCTTCTTCTGGAATCTATCTGCTGATTGCAGCAATGTATCAGATAGCACGATGGATCTTGACCATGGCGAGCCGAAGAAGTATGCATCCACATGTCTAGTTGACTGGGACAGTTGCTCCAGGTATATTGCTGGTCGTTACTGGTTATACTGATCGGTTGAGAACAGTGAGTTGGTTTGCTGTTCATGTCGGTCGTCAGAAGGCGGCCTGAGGTTATAGAGTCGGCGATGGAACAGAAAGAAGATGGTCTCTAGGAATGCTGTCAAACCATAAATCTGGATTAGTGTTGCCAAAGGAAGAGCGATTCTGCTGGATTTGCTTGGGCTTGCTAGAAGATGCCTGGTGGGCTTTGACCAAAGTGTGAAGGTACACACAATCAGAGGCGCGCTGATGGCGACTTTTGATATGCTCCATTGACTCTGTCCCTGATCCACTTCGATGGGCTTGATCCGTTCTAGCCAATCGCTCCTCCACAGAAAATGCACAATAGTAATCAATCGGTAGTGAAAGGAGGTACCTTAACCGGACATGCAGCCGCCCAGCGACTTACCTTTTAAAGTTGGTTATGAGCGACACTTCTTCGAGCAGGCATGTATATAGTGGTTTGACACATAACGTTAAAGAGCATTCGGAACTTTGTCTGGCTCAGGACTGGTGCAAATCAAGCGCTATTACTCTGTACTCCCTACTCCGTACTCCGTAATCCTAGTCATTTCCCTCTGGCGCGCGTCCAGAAATCGACGCGTCCAATGCTTGGCACTCGACTTTATTGTGCAAGGGCGTTTAGGATTCACTAAATCCCACGAACAACTCATCGGTCATGCTATCGAAGCCTTTCAAACCGCCACTGCTAAGCACACCGGCCGGGAACAGTTCACAGAAATACCACAACCAGGATGTCGAGCGACCTGCAAAACGACGTCGGCTCAGCGAGGAGGAGACCAAACATATTGATGTATACCAGAACCCAGCAGGAACTGGATTGGCGACTCCCCTTGCTCGGCCCAAGCCAACAGTTGTACCGCGGAAGCCCTTTGTGACACTGCACAATCCGCCTAGTCCTGAGCAGCATAAGTCCGAATTAACACATGGCAACGAAGGTTATTATACAGTGCTATGGCGGAAATACACAGCCAAAAAACACAAGACGTGGGACGGAGATGGTATACTTTCTGTGCGAGGTGGATATGCCTCGCTACGAGATGTATCAGGACGAGACATGGGCCGTCTGGCATTTAGTGACCCACTTCTGCCAGGCTCATCACTATCAATTGGGGGAAAGGACATTGAGGTTGACTCGATCATATCAAAAGCCGACTTTCTTGCTGGAAAACCTTTCTCGAAGGCTGGAAAGCCCTCTGCTACCCCTACAACTTCCGTCCGGACTCAGGACCTGAATACCCAGCCTCTAATTCATCCTGTAACTCTCCCCAGCAAGCCAAGAGGAAGTCTCCAAGCACAGATGAGAGCGGAAATGCTCAGGGATAAAGAATCCAAGAAGAAGCCCAGTTCTGCAGCACCTACGAGCCTAGGAAAGAAGACGGCATTCAAGACTCCACTAAGGGACAGCACAGTCATGCGTCAAGTGCCTGGTGAAAAGCTGACCCCACGACACGACCCTCATGCTCCTGGTGCTCTTGTCATGAAAAGGCCACGAACCGTTCCCAAAGATAAGCAGATCGTGGACGTGGTGCTCGACCCGGTGCTCGGGAAACACCTACGTGAACATCAAAGAGAAGGTGTTGCGTTTCTGTATGAGTGCGTCATGGGTATCCGGGATTATGGTGGAGAAGGCTGCATACTGGCTGATGAAATGGGCCTGGGAAAAACGCTGCAAACTATCGCCCTTTTGTGGACACTACTGAAGCAGAATCCGATCTATAATGCTGAGCCGGTCATTAAAAAGGCACTCATAGTCTGTCCTGTTACCCTCATCAACAACTGGCAGAAGGAATTCAGAAAATGGCTGGGCAACGAAAGGATTGGAGTCTTTGTGGCAGATGGAAAGAAGACCAGGTTGACCGATTTCACGATGGGAAAAAGCTACAGCGTGATGATCATTGGTTATGAAAGACTGAGAAGTGTGGCCGAAGACTTGACAAAAGGGGCCGGTATTGACATAGTCATCGCGGACGAAGGGCACAGACTCAAAACAGTACAGAACAAAAGCGCCATTGCGATCCAGTCGCTCAACACTCCGCGACGCATCATTCTGTCAGGAACACCCATCCAGAATGATCTGAGTGAATTCTTCTCCATGGTTAACTTCGTGAATGATGGACTCCTGGGTACATACAAGAAATTCATGAAACACTTTGAAAACCCCATCGTCAAAAGCCGTCAACCCGACGCTCTGGAGGAAGACATCGAGCTAGGCGAATCTCGAAGCGAAGAACTCGCTCAAGAAACCTCCAAGTTCATCCTTCGACGGACAGCCGACATCCTATCCAAATATCTTCCTCAGAAGACTGAGTATGTCCTCTTCTGCAACCCAACACCTACCCAAGCAAATATCTACCGACACGTCCTCGCCTCACCAATGTTCCAATGTGCACTTGGCTCCTCCGAATCTGCCCTCCAATTGATCACCATACTCAAAAAGCTGTGCAACAGCCCCTCGCTATTAAGCCCCAAGATCGCAGCGACTGACGAGACTGCGAACTCCGCCTCCATTATTGCGCTCCTCGAAACCCTACCCCAGAACCTGCTGAGAACACTCGGCCCGCAGGCAAGCACTAAGATCCGCATTCTTGACACGTTCCTCTACCATCTCAGCCGAAATACCTCCGAGAAGATTGTCCTAGTCTCCAATTATACATCCACCCTTGACCTCCTCCAGACACTACTCACATCGCTCTCGCTGCCCTTTCTTCGCCTAGATGGCAGCACCCCATCTGGGAAGCGCCAGGTTCTAGTCGACGACTTCAATCGCTCTTCTTCCAGCGCTGCATTTGCGTTCTTGCTGAGCGCAAAAGCGGGCGGGATGGGACTGAATCTCGTTGGGGCGAGCAGATTGGTACTTTTTGATGTTGATTGGAACCCAGCTGTGGAGGAACAGGCTATGGCTAGGATTCATCGAGAGGGTCAGAGGAAGCACTGTAGGATCTATCGGTTTGTTATGAAGGGGGGTTTAGAGGAACGGGTTTGGCAGAGGCAGGTCGTCAAGCAGGGGTTGGCTAGTAGTATTATGCAGGGAGGGAATGCTGGAGGTGCTGCCGGTGCTATTATTGGGAAGAAGGGCATCGCACAATTCAGCAAGGAGGAGTTGAGGGATTTGTTTCGATTGGACGAAAACGTCGGCTTGAGAACCCATGAGCTCATTCGCTGTTCTTGTCAGGGTATGGGAAGGGTCGACGTTGAACATGGACAGGAACAGCAAATCAATCCTGGGACCGAAGACGACGATAAACCCTTCTTCGTCGAAGCTACGGAAACTCTTGACTCCTGCAGTGCCTCAGACTCGGAAGCAAGAGGGGTAGAGACTGACAACGATGACGCAGACTCTCTACCGGACGTCCACACCCTGGTGAAAGCCTCTACCCTCTCACCCACACACATCAAAGATCCAACCTACCAAATCACGGCCGATATGCAGAGTAGTACCTCACGGAGTGGGAGAGGGAGCACTGCGACCAGCAACAGCAAAGACAAAGACAAAGCCAAAGAAAAAGAAAATGCAGAAATGCAAAGCCTGATGGAATACATCCACATCGACACCAGCTCCCTGGCTTCTATCCCCCCGGATGCCGGTAACGCTAGTAGCAACCATGGTATCACTTCAAATTCCAAGGGAGAAATCGAAGCCCTAATCGATGACGACATCCTCATGGACGTGCTGCGTGGAGACGGAGAAGGCAGCCCTGGAGGTGTCGCCTGGGTCTTCAAGAAGACGAGCGGTGGTGCGGGCAGCGCTGTGCGAGCTACTGCTTGCTAGTTAGTTCTGATGTAGGAAGGGGAAGGGAAGGGGGAAAGGGGGGGAGAAGGGCGGATTTCTTACGGTTTATGATGGTTGAGCGAGGCCGGGACCAAAAGGGGAGGGAGGCGAAGGGGAATACCGTACCATGGAGTTCAGGTCTCACCGAGTTGCAATAGGGTCGTCATGTAGATTCAATTCAATCAGAGTAGATAGACACAACGCCGTGGGAAAGGGAAACACATGAATATGTCAGAAATGGGCTTTTCCCATCTTGTGAGGCTGTGACGGGACGATAGACCATTGCAACAGGAGAACCAATCCGACCTATTCATGAACACCACCTGCGCGAGACAGGGAGAGTGAAAAAAGTGTTAATGAAAGAAGTTTTCATACAAAACGCTATCTATCTATACTAATTTCAGTTCTTTGTTGCTTTTGGAGGATCTGTAGCACAAGCCATCTAGCTGGCTGATATGCCCCAGGTTGATCGCATGCACAGAAGGATTGAAAAAGCAGTATCGCTCGGCGCCGCGAAATGCCCGCGCATCACCACCGAAGCAGGTGCAATGACCACGTTGATCGTTTGTCTCGTTAAACTCGTCAGCAGGACTTGCGTGCCTCATTCTCCCAGGCTCATCCGCTCGATGCTGCACCATACCAATCACTCATAAAGATCCATGCCGGGATCCTTATCCTCGATCGCCAACATATCGTCCACATCATCCACCATGTCCTCGTCCTCATCCGGCTCGCTCTCCTCACCGTGGTTCGGCAGCACGGTAACGCGGCCATCCTGCATGACTATCTTGGCCGTCTCTCCGTCCCTCACACTACCTCTCAAGATCAACACCGCCAGACGGTTCAACACCTCCTTCTCGATCAGCCGCTGCAGAGGCCTCGCGCCATAAGCTGGCGAGTAGCCCGCGCGACCCAGGTAATCCCGAACGTCGTCCGTGCATTCGATTTTGACGTTGCGGTCGTTGGTTTGCAAACGACGCTGGATTTCGCCGATTCGGACATCGACGATCTTTCGGATCTCCTTCCGGCTTAGGCGATTGAAGATGACGATGGAGCTGATTCGGTTGAGAAATTCGGGGAGGAAGTAGTTACGTAGGCTGTTCATGATGAGCTCCCGTGTCGTGGGATCGATCTTGCCATCTGGTGCATTTTGACGGGCCAGGTACTCTGCGCCCAGGTTGGAGGTCATGACGACGATGCAGTTTCGTGCATCGATGACTCTCCCCTGGCCATCGGTGATGCGGCCATCGTCCATGAGCTGAAGGAGGACAGTTAGAACTTCTTTGGCTGCTTTCTCAACTTCATCAAAGAGGAGGATGGAGAATGGTCGTCGTCTCAAGGCTTCTGTGAGCTGACCACCTGCGTCGTGGCCGACGTAGCCAGGTGGAGCGCCGATCATACGTGAGAGGGAGTGGCGTTCTTGGTATTCTGACATGTCAAGCCGAATCATGGCCTTTGGATCGTCGAACAAGAACTCGGCCAACGCCTTGGTTAACAGGGTCTTGCCTGTACCGGAAGGTCCACAAAACAAAAACGAAGGGGGTTGGTTGGGGTTAGAAAGGCCGGATCGCTGGAGACGGATGGCGTTTGAAACTGACTGAACAGCCTCTTTCTGGCCGACCACGATCTTGCCAAGATGTTGCTCCATATGCAGAAGTTTGTCCTTCTCAGTTGTCTTCAGGCGATTGACTGGAATGCCTGTTGACCTAGCCACGATCTCGTTGATCTGGTCTGGACCAACAGCATCTGTAATGAGCACGTCGCCAACAGATCCTCTTCGTGAGAACGCCTCTGCATCAGCTCGCGAACGGTCTTCTTCGAGTTCCTTTATTCGTTTTGTAACATCTGGAATGGCATAATAAACAAGGTCCGACGCTGTTTGAATGTCGCCCGATCTTTCCGCCTCGTCACGTTTGACCTTGAGCTGGTCAAGCTTGGCTTTCAATTCTTGAATGTCTTTCGATCTTTGCCTTTCCGATTCGTAATGCTCTTTCAATGGTACAAGCTCTTCTCTCACGTTTGCCATCTCTAGTTTGGCAGCTTCAAGTCTTGTCTTGGATGCCGGGTCATTTTCACGGTCGAGGGCATGGATCTCAATCTGGAGCTGACGGATACGACGCTCCATCGCATCCAAGGCTTCTGGTTGAGACTCTCTGGTGACATGAACCGCCGCGGCGGCCTCATCAATCAGATCAACAGCGGAATCAGGCAAACGCCGCTGGGTAAGGTATCTAGCTGCCAGGGTGGCGGCTGATACGATGGCCGAATCAAGGATTTTGACACCATGGTGAACTTCGAACTTTTCTTTCAGCCCTCGCAGAATCGAAATTGTCTCTGGCAAAGAAGGTTCTTTGACCAGCACTTGTTGAAATCGACGTTCGAATGCGCTGTCCTTTTCGATGTATTTCCGATACTCCGCGAGTGTGGTTGCGCCGATACAATGCAATTGTCCGCGAGCCAACATGGGTTTGAGGAGGTTCGCAGCATCCATGCCACCCTCGCCGCTTGAGCCAGCGCCCATAAGCAGATGAATTTCGTCCACGAACAGAACAATCATCTCTTTTGTCTGTTCGATTTCCTTGAGCACACCCTTCATTCGTTCTTCGAACTCGCCACGATACTTGCTCCCAGCGACAAGCGCACCGACATCAAGTGAAAGGAGTTTGCAGGCAGCAAGATTTTCTGGCACGTCTTGGTTGACAATACGCTGTGCAAGTCCCTCAATGACGGTGGTTTTACCTACGCCAGGCTCACCAATCAGGACAGGATTGTTCTTCGTTCTCCGCGAGAGAATTCGGATAACTCGTCGGGTTTCCTCGTCTCGGCCAATCACCGGGTCCATCTTACCCTCCCGCGCCAAAGCTGTCATGTCGATTGTGAATTTTTTGAGATTCTCATTCTCCTCCTCGGAATCCGCAGTTTTGGAGTCTACCCGCTTTGTTCCCCGTATCTGCTGTATGGCGGACTCAATCAACTTCGTGTTCGGGACATTTGCATCTGCCAGAGCTCGTTGAACGGTCGAGTCCTGAGCCAGAGCCAGGATCATGTGATCTACCGCCACGTAACTATCTTTCTGTAACTTCGAAAGTTCATTTGCGGCCCGAAGTACCTTTGAAAGCTGAGGAGAGAGAGAAACATGTTCTGGAGGCGGATCCTGACTAGCCAAGCGAACAAGCTGTTTCTTCAGGGTTCGATCGAAGAGCTGAACATCTCCGTGCGCACGTTCAATGACCTGTCTGAACAGAGGCATTGAAGCAGAAACTTGAGAGGCATTGGCTGTCTGTTTCTGGTCTTTGGATTCGTCGACTGGAGGATCAAAGAGGGAGACCGCCAAATGTAGCGGCATGATTTGTATGTGAGCATACTGTTCTGCAAGGTTGGCAGCGTCGCTCAGCGCTTTCTGGCCGCGCTCTGTGAATTGCATGCCCGAGGCAGCCATGATGATGGTCTACTATCAGGGTTCGGTAAGAGAATTCGAGAGGACGAGTATCAGACTCGAATCTAGGTTGTCGAAACTTTGCCTTCACTGTGTAGTATACTGGTAAAATCTGAGCGCAGGAAAGAAAACAAGAAACAGAAAATAAATCCACGTAGGTATTGAATCTTTGCATTGTACTAGTACATGTAACACGTTGTGGGGGCGAAGCTTCCAGCGGCTGCGTCATGTTTCCCCCAGCTTCCCGCAGCTTCTACTGCTGCCAATTGACCACCAAGCACGTTTTAGGTTTAGCATCCCGTTAAAGCATGCCTAACTTGCAGGGCAGCCCGACGTTGACACCCGAGCCAATCCGTAGCTTAGCACCGCGAGACGCTCTTCATTAATTCGCAGATCGATGCATATCACTACCTAACAAATTCACCACTCTCCAAATCTTACTCCTTGCGCGCATTCGCTTGCAAGATTATTCGAGAACGATGAAAACGATCGCCCTAGACTACATCTAGAGATGATGGAGCACGAAGAAGCTACCCTTGATACGGGCAGTCTGCTTCACCCTTTGCATGCAAGATGCCCTACAACATCGCGTACGCTCATCTCGGGTTTTTGGTAGAATATGCGACTGACTCAATGTCAGAATGATCAGCGATTTCTTCTTCCCGCAGCCAGGTATCAACCGTCCCCAGGTACACAGTGACTGAAAACTGAAGCAATTAGGCGGTGTTGAGAGTCACATATACCAATTATCCACTGTCCGTCATATCCATTACGGACGTACTGCAACGAGGCTGATCTCTGGAAAGAAACTTATTGATAGAGGACACAAAGTCATTGTTGTCACGCATGCATATCAAGGACGAACAGGAGTTCACTACCTAACCAATGGCCTCAAAGTCTACCACGTTCCCTTCCTCGTTATCTACCGGGAGTCGACTTTCCCCACAGTCTTCTCATTCTTTCCAATATTCCGAAACATCATAATACGAGAACAAATCGAGATTGTGCATGGCCATGCCAGTTTGAGCAGCTTCTGTCATGAGGCCATTTTCCACGCTCGAACCATGGGACTGCGGACGGTTTTTACAGATCACTCTCTTTTTGGTTTCGCAGACGCGGGCTCCATTCTGACCAATAAATTGCTAAAATTCACCCTGAGCGATGTTGACCATGTCATTTGTGTGAGCCACACTTGTAAGGAAAACACGGTGCTAAGAGCGTCTCTGGACCCCCTGATGGTCTCCGTGATTCCAAATGCAGTAGTGGCGGAGAATTTTCAACCATTGGCCTACACTCCGCGCTCACAGGATCCGGATCACATGGCCGTCAAATCGATGTCTCGGCGTCTTGGTCCTGGTGATACGATTACCATTGTTGTCATATCTCGTCTCTTTTACAACAAAGGCACGGATCTGCTCATTGCTGCTATACCGAGGATTTTGGCATCCCATCCCAACGTTCGCTTCATCATCGCCGGGTCAGGGCCAAAGGCAATTGACCTTGAGCAGATGCTGGAACGCCGTGTTCTGCAAGACCGTGTCGAGCTACTGGGTCCAGTTCGGCATGAAGAAGTACGCAATGTGATGACAAGGGGACATATATACCTACATCCCAGTCTGACAGAGGCGTTTGGTACAGTGATAGTGGAGGCTGCAAGCTGCGGACTGTACGTCGTCTGTACTCAGGTTGGTGGCATACCAGAGGTTCTCCCACGACACATGACCACTTTTGCGAAACCCGAAGAAGATGATCTTGTACAGGCTACAGGTAGAGCTATTGCTGCTCTTCGTTCAGGCAAAGTCAGAACAGAAAGGTTTCATGATCAAGTTAAGATGATGTATTCATGGACAGACGTGGCCCGACGAACGGAAAGAGTTTATGACGGCATTACAGGCGCCATTAGCGAGGACGAGTTTTATGGCCATTATCCTGGTAGTACTTGGAGTGCAACAAGAGGCAGAGCTGGGGTGCAAAGTTATGCTCTGATTGATAGACTGAAGAGATACTATGGCTGTGGTGTATGGGCGGGGAAATTGTTTTGCTTATGCGCGATCATCGATTTTCTATTCTCCCTCTTCCTCGAAGTGTGGGCACCACGAGCTAACATTGACATTGCACGCAACTGGCCACGGAAGCCGTTCATCAATGACAAGAACAAGCCTGTTGGAAATGGGGTCTATTGGCGAAGAGCATATAATGATAGAATGGATCGACGAAACGGCAGTATACGGTAAAAACACCACCACTTTCGCAGTTTGAGAGACACCAGAATCCCCCAATGCTCAGACATCGGATTGCAGGTTACTAGTTTTCGATGCTACATCATGCAGGAGCGTTGAGCTTTTGCTAACAACCGGGCTTAGCCTGATTTTCTCCTGACCGTTACTGATAAGGTTCTGTAACCGTGCACTTTTTGCACTAAGCTTTGCAGCTTAGTGCACCGCAGCGCAACGATAGAACGCAGCGCAACGATAGATTTTTTCTATTTCTATAGCTATTGCCCCCCCTCATCGCTAATTTGATACTCTAATTGGTCCTCATAGTCCATAGCACTGATACGAAGACGGGCATGCGCACAAATAGCCCTATAGAAGCGTACAAACTTCGGTCTTTCCCGTTTAGGGCATTGACGCCGAGAGTACTCCTTCTTCTCCCAACTTTCTTGCTCCTTTCGTGTGCGTAATCGAATTCGCTCCTTAGCCCTCTCAACAGTAATAATGCCTCTTTTTTGTACGGCACGACGTGTGGCTTTCGCACGTGCAGCGCGTGCTGCTTATATTTAGTATTAACCGCCTCTGCTTGGGCCCCTGATTGTACGCGCGCTATAGCACCCTTAATAAATTTGTGTATAAGTAATTCGCTCTTTAAATCAAACTCTATATTCGTCCGAATTTGCTCTGCAAATTAAGTAATTTTGTAGATCTTTTTTAGCGTTTTTATTGTATCTAATAACTCTGATTTAGAGTCATTTTCAGAATTAAGAACTAGTAAAGAAGACAATTTAGCAATTACTATATTTAGGTTATAAGGCATAAGACTAGTTTCTTAAAAAGCACTTAGAATTATAGAATTCTTAAAAGTTTATAACTATACAAATTTTAAAAATATTAGCTAAAAAGACTACTTATAAAAATAAGTAATTACTAAGTTATATAGCATAGTTAATAGCCTTTATATAATAGTACTTAAGTAATTAAAAGCATATTATATTAAGTAGTTATAAAAGATGCATAAAATAAAAAGAAAAGTAAAAGAAAATAATAATATTATTTTAATAAAATTATATAAATTCGAATTTAAAATAAGTATTAAATCTATCTAAAATTAATAATTAATATACCCCTTTTGTTACGCGGAAAACCGGGCAACAGGGTATGGGGGTACTATAGAGATAGTGGAGAGTCACGAAGAAGC